TGAATTTTTTTCATTGTCGTTTCTTCAGATGTTTGGTTCTGAGGCCTAGAATTTACCATAGGACAACATACTCTAAAGACTGAACATTGTTTTCCTATTGCTACGTGTAGCTGAAATTAACCCGAATGGGACAATGTTCTTTTCCAGTAACCTCAGTGTACGATCACCAGATCGTGTTTTGCTGTGAGCTAGGCATGTTCCAATGAATGTTATTGTCTGTGAGGGATTTGACAACACCATCTGCTTTTATATCTGAGCTGTCAAGATGTTAACTAACAGATGATTGCTTACCTATTGCCTACCTCGCTGACTTAACTTTTGAGGTTAAAATATTAAACACTGGGCATGGGTTTTGTAGGCCTGAAATTAAAAAAAAAAGAATTACCAGTTTTGTGAACTTGGATGGAACTTCGCCCAGTGTGAGTCTCATGGAATGAAGAATCCAACAGGTAATTAAATGAGCACTCTTCTTTGGTTCAAAGTGCTATTTAAAAATACAAGGTGTTTTTATGAATTAGGTTTAAATTAGTCAGAAACCTGCCCTTCTGGAATTTGCTTGTATGTGGAACAAGGTAGGGTTTTGATACAAAAGTCCGTGCTTCCATACTAATGTGGTTCCAACCCACTTTAATAGACCTTCCCAGAAATATTTTTTATATGAGCCAGTACCCATTAGTCATGGCTAATGATTAATGGATTAGCGGTGTTAATGTCTCACTATTATATATACTATTCTCTTCGCTGCTTAACACTGATATTTAGTGCTTTGAGAGATACAGGGGAGAAATACACATTCTTCAGTTAAAGATGCATCAGTGCTGCTTGTGTACAGAAACAGATGGTTTGCATACAGAAAGAGACACGTTTTAATCTTCATCTAAAAATCTTTATTACATTTCCTACTGAAGAAAGTAATGTGTGTTAAACTATTTTTCCTCAAAAGTCATCTTGACTGTAGCAGAATGTGTATGTTGATATTAACTATTTATTTCAGTTTGTCACTTGTTGGCTTCTTAGTTGTGTTCTTTTTGTCAGATGCAGCTGTTCTGTGTACTGTTTAAATTGTTTCAACTGTGGGCATCAGAACTGTTTTCCTGCTCCCAAATTCAGGTGTTTCGACTCTCAGTTTCATATCCAGATGAGGCTCCAGGATCAGGAAGCGGTGCCGCATGCCCTACCCTGATGCCCAATTTGATTGAGCAGGGAACCAGGGCACCAAGAGACGGGGGTGCAGCCTTGCAATACAATTTCACTTCAAAACTTAATGCCAAGTCTTCTGTTGGCACAAACGAGAACAATTGGTTTTTATTAGCACTGAATTGCTGTAAGTCAGCCAAGCTTTTAGCTCCTTCTCCTAAATATTTCTTATCTTCTCTGTCTCCACTGGGGTGCTTTTTTTTCAGTTTTCCTGCTGTGGTAGTCCTTAATTTTGGTTTAGTCTTCTGTACTGCTAATAGTTTAATTGCACAAGTTTTTAGTTCTACTTAAATGCGGAGATCTCGAGCAGCTACAGTTTTATTGAGAGGTACACACACACAAAAACCCTAACCATATTCTGTTATAGTTTATTTATTAGTGTAATGTTTAATGCTTCCACAAGAGGCAAAAGATAAACATCATTTAACCCAGGCACAGAAAGAAAAAGCAGTTTTTTACAGACATCCTTCCCCCACACACACCTTTTTCAGACTTAAACTAGGCAGATAGAATAGAAAGGTTTAGCCACAAGTAAAGAACAATGATATAAGAAAAGGTAGCTCTGGGGTGAGTAAAAATATTGTATTAGCCAGTGGCAGAGCAAATGCCTTAAATTTGCTGAAGTAACATAACAGAATGGAAGATTATCACTAGAAATTGTTAGGATAGATGCGTTGTAAACAGCGAATAACCATAATTAACCATTTTAGGTGAAAGTATAGTGCTTTGAGGTAACAGATTTAAGGACGTCTTGAATAATGTTTGAACCTTAACACCAATGAAATTATGAGAAAGTAGGATATTCTCCCATTCTGAAGGAACGGCCGCCCCAATCACCACCTACAATGATGTTCGTCCAGTCCCTGTTTGAGTAAAACATAAGCTGTGGTGGTTGCAGGTTTGATAATCAGGTTTGCTCTCATCACTGTTGGGGGGGGGGGGGTTGTGGGTGAATCAGCAACTGCCCTGTCTTGCATTTGAGTAAATGTGTACAACAGCAATTCCGATGTCAGGAACACTTCAACGCTGGATCTGCCCTTCGCTACATCCATATCATAAGACTGCAAGGTTATTTTGAACAGCCATAGATTAGAATGGAAGTGCAACTTTAAAAAAAGAAAAGCTGAACTTTAAGAACTGAACTTGAGAATCAGTAACTTTTGCCTAATTAAAAGATGACCAAAAGAGATTAGTAGTGGAAGCTTGAAAGGATGTTGATTTGTTTCCCTAAATATGACACTATTTGCTCTGTTTATCCTTAAAAGCAGCACACAAGGAAGCACAGAAAGCAGAACTTGTGGTCATGCCACTTGTGTGTTATTGTCAAAATCCCAATTACCGTCCATTAACTGAATATTCAAATCCAGTTTGGTGTTTGTTTTTTTTTCCTTTAATAAGAGCTACAGATGTATCAGAACCTGATGTGTTTGAGGTAAGGAAAGGTATTAAACATACACAAATTTGGTATAATATTAAGTAAGTAAGAAATGTAAGCGACAACAAAAGCAGCACTCAGGTAAATAATGTTATGTTGATAACTATTTGTAAGTTGTACTAATGAAAACATCTGCTACGTTGCAGCTAAAATGCTTTAACCACTGTTTTCAGACTTCATGCCAATAGGCATTGTTGACTGAGAACTTTAGACAATTTTATTATCGTACAGTTAAGCAGCATAGCAGGGTTTCATATGGTTTTTTAGCTGCACAAGGAATACAATATCTGGCAGTAGTTGAACATTGCAGACATTAGGCTAGGTCACTGAAGGGCTAAAGTCAAGTCTCCCACCTCCTGTCTGCAACCAGTGTTTTGGATGAAGAACTGCAATCGCTGCAGCTCCCTATGCATGACACTGGCTAACTGTAATGGTGACTAGATGGCCAGAACTCTGCTCCTGTGCCTCAGGCTCCCTCGGAGCAGCCTTCCTTCCAGGCTGCTTCCTAAGGGTCTTTAGGTTTAATCTCTCTTCTGGGGCTCTTGTAGGGCTGCACAGTTACAGGAGGTGATAGGGAAATTCCTCCCTCCCTTTGGTGCCATTTCCCTGCACTTGCCATTCAGGACAGCAGGTACATTAAAGAAGTGACCTTGTAGGTACTGCTTTGAACTGCCACAGCCTGAGGAGAGAGAGTGCATGTCTTCAATGCATATATACATTTATGCCATTAATGAGTTGTTTGGTACTGGTGATGTCGCTGCTGCTACTTCTGGCTGCATTTACGAGGGAAAGTGAGACCTGATCAGCTCTTGAAAGGAAGGATGTAGGTGCCCAAGCCCCAGAAGGGCCTGGCCTAAGAAATGTAAGTGGCACAAGACATCTGATGTAGTAAAACATGCAGGGTTCTAGGTCTAGTGAGAGTTGATTGGCTACTATTCATTATTTGCTTTTTATGCATTAATTCTGAATTACTGTTCTAAGATGCCTAACCTCCCTGTGTATTATATTGGATACCCAGGCCTCTAACCATAGGCTTAAGATCCTAGCTCAGGGACTGTAGGCCTTCAAATTAAGTAGTGTAATGTTGGACTTATGGGCATCAACATTCTCTGCTGGCCCTAGCCTTGAGTCTTTTTTGGTGTGAAACTACATGCAGCTTCTACAATACATAGATGCTGTCACGCTATTGCCTTTAATCCTTTCTGAAAGAGTAGTACTGTGTCTTAAGAAGGATGATCAAATGGAAAAAAGATTGAAAGTGATAAATATTCCAGTAAGTGTATTTTACTAGCCACTCTATCGCAAATAAAAAGTTTAACATAACATGATTTAAAATGACATTTTTCAAGTGGACTAGCTTCAGTATAAATAGACAGTTTGACTTCTCATTCAACTCTAATTGACTAAAATACAAACTAACACAAATATGTAAAAAGATGTCAGAAGTAGGACCAGAATCCAGGTCTGGAGTTTCTACCGCTGATTCATAAGAACACTTCCTTTGTTCAAGTAAAAAAATTTCTCTTTATGTGCAACCAAAGTTATCTGCATAAAGTTCCAAGTAATTTGAACTGGCATATCCACATAGTCCCATTACAAAGCAATAAAAAAGTGTTCTCAACTTTCAAGGCAAAGTTTTCATGATATAATTAGACTCATTATTACAATGTACAATAGTGATGATTTTGACACTGTGTTTTCTACTTACTAGATTAAAAAGCATTAATCTGCAGTTCTTCACAGACATCCTACACAACAACAGGAAGTAATTAATTAGTCATTAAACAAGACTACTGGATTTTGGGTTTTCTTGTTTTCCAGTATAGCTAACTGCTGAAACATTACAATAAAAAAAAACTGTGTCAGAACACCTCCCAGAATGAAAGGGTAGCCTCAAAATTATACACCCCGTACAAACTGCTAATGAATAAAGGGTTACACTTGCAAGTGCTAAATGCCATGATTGCTACTGAGACTAGCAGGACAAAAACATGTTCATGTATACTGTCAGCATCTGCAGAATCCTAAGGTGCATATCACAGATGTGCTATGAATATTCTCTGTTGTTTTCGAAGCTACAATATAGTGCACAGTTAAGACAGTATGAAACAAGTATTACATGATTCTGAATTTGCATTTAATATTTACAGCAATCTTACAAAGCCTAATGTTTGTAGAAACTGAAATTTTTGCTATGAGAATAATGCAGTAAAAGATAGCAGCAAATGCTGTTTACCTTCCATAGATACTCTGTTTTTCCCTGTACTGTTCAGTTATGTCTTGGTAGCATCAAAGACAGATGATTCAATGTTAATTAGCGTCTTACCCTGCTTAGGAGTGAAATGTTCTGGTTTCTTTGAGTTTGTAACTACTTCGACAGAGTAGAAATCTCTTCTGTTCTCATAGCATCAGACAGGAAACTAAGTTCATTGCACAGTGTCTCGTACCTGAAAGCCATCCGGATCTGTGCAACGTTTGTCTTTCGAATGTCATTTCCCTCAGGCCCTTCTTTACAGTAATTCACCCCTAAGAATTTCTGTTTTTCCTGTGAACAGGATTAAACATAAAAAGGAAGAAGTCAGTTCAACTGCTTTGATTTATTGTGTAACTGAGTAGTTGTTAGTTGAAAGACTCCAGTGCAAGTGAAAAGAGCAGCTTCAACCAGCTGGCCATTGAACTTTACCTCATAGTCTTAACCAGTTTTGGAGATTTTAAGGCCAAAGTTTGTAATTAGTCAGCAGTGCACTCAGCCTGGCTTGCTAAAACCCTTTATGCTACCATTTGGTCTTCACTACTACATCTTTCACGTGAGAGGTCAAAAAGAGGCTCAGGTTTCTTTTGCTAGTTAAATGTTGCATAAGAGGAAAATTAATAGTTGTCACTAGAGAATACTGGAAGAAACAACAGAATATACTTGTAAAGCCCCTTCACATAGCAGCTCCTTGAGAGGAATGTTTGAAAGTCACGTAGAAGAGAGGATGCTCTAAAATAAGTCCTAGAGAAAGCCATGGATGTATAGAATTTTAAAGCCAGAAGAGAATGTAGTCTAATATGATTGCCTATCTAAACCAGAATATTTTCTGTAGTACTCCCTTCTAAGCAAAAATGTGCCTTGCTTATGACAGGCAGTTTGTTTTAACTCAATGCAAGACATGATGTGTAAAATTACTGGCAAAGGGAATGTCACCCAAATAGTTAAAGGTTTGGAACTGGAGGCAGAAATGAGTATAAACAGGTACTTGGTCTTTGCATGTTTTGGGAATTCCAAAACAAAGCTAATGAGGAAAAATGTAACACTAATACTTTTTTAAATGTAAGACTGCATAATAGATAGTTTGTGAATATTTCTGGAAAAAAGGATAGGGACGTGCACAAATACATCACAGAAGCACCTGCTCTTCAATGTTCAGACTATTGACTTCTCAGTTCCTACTTGCCTTAACATTCACAAAAGAGATTTTTTTGCCGTAATTACCTTATCTGACAATCCACTCTGTAGTACGCTGTTTCTTGCTATTTCACACAAGTCACAGGTACTTAGTTTCCACACCTGGGCTGCAATAGCATATTCTTCCATGAGAGCTTCCTGTATCACCAAAATATGTTTCAAATTAAATTATATGTAAAAAAGATGTAAATGGGAATATGTACTCGTTACTAATTGAGGAATTTATACATGCTCTTTAGATAGCTGTGAAAAATTAGAGGTTTAAGACTTTAACATCACAATTACTAACAAACAGAATTGTTTATTTCAAATTTCCCAAGGGCGACTGTTAAATAATTGATAGGCACTGGGTATCCAGTTATCTTAGTCTAAGAAATTGCAGCCTGCAGTCCAGATCCTTAGAGGCATTTATTAGGCAATTTCAAGTGAGATCCCATGGTATATAAACACCTTGGAGGATCTAGTCATAAATCTTTAATGAATATGTACATAGGCAGATAGCAGGGCAATTTCTCATGTGTGACCTTACACGCAAGGAGGTTGGGTCTGACTCTAGTGGGCTGTCACAGCTGAGGATCTTCCACGCTATGTGTAACGCAGCCAGTGCTGCATTGCATCCATGCAGAAAGCCCCACAGAAGCTCTCTGGCTTTTCTAGCAGGGACATGTCATGGGCCAGAAGCAAGCCTGGGTGAAGCACGCCAGAGTTCAGCTTGTTCTAGGAACACAGACAACTGAGCAATGTAGAGGCCCTTCTAAGGCACAGTGTGACTCAAGTTAGTGCCAACCACAAAATTGGGGCATCAAAACCAGTGACCAGCATTTCTGGCCTGCCAGGCCACCCAAGGGCAAGAATCAGTTTCTCTTTGCTGAGCAAACAGCTCATACGTCATCTTCAGAGATTCCACATCATGTTTTTGTAATGTACTTCCCCAGATTTATTAGTAAGGAAACTGGACTTTCCTGGCACTCTAGAGGATTGTTTATGAAGGCTCAAACCTCCCTTCAGCCTCATCCTTCATTCTATACTTCAACAGCCAACACTAGAGAGGCAAGAGTACAAAAGAGACATAATTAGGAAATCAGACATTTCCCTCTGAAACCTAACAGTGAGCAGACTGAGAATGAGGAAGAATAATGAATGAAGTGACGAAAGACATGAAACTTTATATCCTAAGCAATGATACAAAATAGCTTTCAGGTCATGCTGGGCCTATGTGGTACTGTTGCCAAATTCAAAGGCAAGTGCTTTTTCCAATTGTTACCTTTGTATAATGAAACTGCATGGGATCATCTGTGGAGAGAGAGACATGAAGTCCCTTATGTAGAAATTCCCGTAGTGGATTTTTTGAGTACTCCAGGAACAGGCTGTTGTTACTAAGTGGCGACATAGCAATGGGTATTTGTGCAAGATAATAAAGATACTGGAGGACAGGACTCTGCAAAACAGAACACAATCAGCATTTAATGGTACTATGGGATAATGAAAAAAAGAAGGATTTCCTTTGGATAAAATGCAAACAGCATTCCAGAGGGAGAACGAAGACCAAAAAAATTAAGTTGACGCTAAACTCTGACTTCTTTAGAAAATATTTAAAAGTCTGAATTTAAAATATTACTGATCCTTATAAAAATAATTTACATTCTTCAACGTATATTTAAAAATATGGTGACCAATATTACTGTAGATTAGTAAGTATGTATGACTATTAAGGGCACTGCATGTGATACTAACTGCACACCTTCCTCCAAAACCTGAAAGTCACAGATAACAGATATGTAAGAACTGCTAAGCAATTTGTTATTTTCAAAACCACAGTCCAATAGGTAAATTTTAGGAGCAGAGGAAGTTTTTATTAGAAGTCATGTTTTGCTGCTGCACATAATATAAATAATCTGTGGTCACCTCAACTTTATTACTATTTTTGTCTTAACCAACCTGTGAACCTAACAAGTGCTATTATTATTATTATTATGGGTTTTTTAAATTATTATTATCTGCTATGCCAGGTTATTGCACCAAGCTAAGCAGGAGAGTGAAAAGGAGAATGCTTGGTCACATACAGCCCTAGTACTGCTCTGTCTGGGTCTAATCTTAGGAATTACTGGTTCTGAGCATAACATCAGACATGATTTTAGGCAAAATTTTTCTTTGTTCTTGGATATGTTGAAAAATACAGAGAGAATTTTCCAGCATTAACCAGAAAATCCAACTTAAAAGAGAACTGTTTCAAAAAAATTAGAGTAAACTCAGTGCAGGTCTGCCACCCACTGACCAAGTATTTTAACTACAAAATGGTGGCCTGGGCATGAGTTGTGTGGTGGGTTTTATTAACTGATATGCCAGGAATGATAACGTTTGTCCTGTCATAACAATCAAATTGTATATAAAATATTGCTGTGTTACACAGCTATGATAAATAGCTTCTCTGGGCAACCTGTTCCAGTGCCTCACCACCCTCACAGTGAAGAATTTCTTCCTAATATCTCATCTAAATCTTCCCTCTTCCATTTTAAAGCCATGGCCCCTTGTCCTATCCCTACATGCCCTTGTAAAAAGTCCCTCCCCAGCTTTGTTGTAGACCCCATTAGGTATTGGAAGGCTGCCCTAAGGTCTGCCCGGAGCCTTCTCTTCTCCATACTGAACAACCAATCTACCAAATAGAGCTCCCACATTTAAAGCCATGGCCCCTTGTCCTATCCCTACATGCCCTTGTAAAAAGTCCCTCCCCAGCTTTGTTGTAGGCCCCTTTAGGTACTGGAAGGTGCTGTGAGGTCTCCCCAGAGCCTTCTCTTCTCCAGGCTGAACAACCCCAACTCTCTCCGCCTGTCCTCACAGCAGAGGTACCCCAGCCCTCAGATCATCTTCATGGCATCCTCTGGACTCACTCCAACAGGTCTGTGTCCTTCTTGTGCTGGGAGCCCCAGAGCTGAATGTGGTACTCCAGGTGGGGTTTCTGATCAAAGTGACAAGTTACTTGTGCCTTGCTAAGAAAATTAATTTGGGGCTGCCCAGATAAAGTCAATTTGGTGACTGCTGTTTGAACCAGTGACTGATGTCTAAGCAGATAGTGGTTAGTTTAGGTGAGCAACCAAGTAATACCTTCTTCAAGAGTAATCCATGAGAAATGTTGTCTGCTGTCAGAAAGGCTGATACAAGGTGTGTGATAGACCCAGCTTCTCCACAGTGAGGTCGAAACAGAAAGGTACACATGCCTCTTTCAATCAAAAGCAAGTTCCACTAACAAAAAAATGCACTGTTCCTCATCTGTTTTGTGTATAATTATCATTAATATGGGAATTTTAAAAAAAATGTTGATGTTACACATTCTCGTACAGTTTCACGTGACATCTAATCAGGCCTACCTGTGGGCTGCTGTCAAAAGAGGCAGGCCCCTCTACCCAAGCCCCTTCCACCACCTGACATAATTGTGTCTTCCTTCTTTCCTTCCCTAGTTACATCTCATTTAGCAATTGTTTTGCTACTGAGTGAACAGTTATTGAACTGATTTCAGTTGAGGGAATTGGCAGATGGAAAGAGAAGTGAAATGATGCAACCTGTGGCCGCATAATTCCTAGGTTCAAAATGAGGGAAGCAGTGGAAGCACATTACCAAGAGTTAGCTAACACCACCTAGTGTAATGACAACCTGCCATCTCACTAGGTTAAGTGTAGCATAAAACCACACCGTCAGTAGCACAGAGATGATTCTAGGAGTGTTAGTTATTACACTAGACTTCACACTGTAATTTCTAGAACTATTTTATTTTTATCATCTATATTAAAAATGATGCTAGGTTTTAGGTTATAATGGACCCTGTTATTCAGTGCAGACAAATGTGTCATAAGTATTTGGAGATGTTCAAAACAAAGAATTTCAAGAAGGACTGCTGGAGTATAAGGCAGTTCTAGGATGGGTGTTTAGTAGTGTTTCTCCTGAAAATGGATGTGAGGGTGTAATCCATGCTTGCTGACTTCACTAATACTACCAAAAGTATAAAACAGTCTTGTAATGGACTGGCTGTGGTGCCTCAAATACTCAGTATGTTTAACAGGGTGAACAGTTTTACTGACTCACTGATGAACTGTGTCATTATCTCATCTAGCTGTAAAGAATATTTAATGATTATCTAGGGAGATTTTCAAACAGTAGTTGAGATCATCTTTAAGTAAAAAAGAAATGCATAAATTCTGACAGAATCTCTGTCTTTGGAAAAGAAAAAAACATAGACTACAGAGAATGTAAAGGAAGTCAGGAGAAAGGGATGACTTAGGGTGTCCTTTCCACTATAGAACTAAAACTAACAACTAGGCCTGTTTGTTGCTGGTACAAGGTAATTTAAGGTGGATGTTTTTATTATGAGTTTTGATTATATAGGGTGGTAGAGAAAGAAATGCTTGAGGTAGCAGTGGGAGAGAAGAAATAACATTTTGAATGTTAACTTGGATAAGACCTGTAAAACTGACAAATCTGTGCACCTTCTAAAAGAAAAATCTCGAAACATTTTCTGAATAATAATGAACGAAATCCTTGCAAGGTTAAGTGATGACACCATAATGTCAATGAATAACTTCACTGTGCCTCAATTTGAGTCAGTTTTGCAGATCACTCAGTGAGTCAGCTGCAAAGTCAGGAACATAACCTGAAGTTGAATTTCAGGCTTTACTGAGCCTGATGCCAAAATCTGCTTTTACACTCATGATCTCACAGTCAGTATAACTCCCTGCATTATTTGCCTAGACTTTGGTCTCAAAAGTAGTAAAACTGAATGAGTCAATGAGCATGCTAAGGTAAGTTAGCTAGATGTGCAGTTTATAATTATGTCCTCCTTTGTCTATCTTTGATAACAGCAGCAGCCCTTAAACCAACATTTCACAACATAACTTTGTATCTCTTAAATCACCAGGAGACAGCAAACGACCAAGAGGTACTTTATATTTGGAAATCCACTGTGAATCCAAGGAAAGGTCAGCAAGTCAATTTTATGGGGTTTCTTCTTTTGTTTTGTTTGATATATTCAGGTTTGAGGAATTCACAAAACAAAAATACACACAAATGTCAAACCAAGATACTAATCTGATGCCTTTACAATTTCTGAATATTTCATTTGAATTCATTTTGCAGTTAACGTTTTCAGAATAACTCATATACTCCTCTTGAACTCCTTAAAGTAATTCAAGATAATCTTTGCTTCAAAAGATACATGATCTAGACACTGACTTAGACTGAGACCAAGATTATTGATTTTTCTTTCTGGAAGCTTGTAAAGGAGAAAAATGATTACTTACCTCCTAAGGTTATTTAGCAACATGATGTTCACGTACATGTAATACAAATAATAGCTATACGGGGGATTCTTCTCACTGGTCCAGAGGTCAGGGTTAAGGCTCTTGTCAGAGAACATATGGCCACTGTGTTTGGATTCATCATCAACACTGTCAAAGCCAGTCACCTGGTGGGAGGAGATGCACAGAAATCAGTGTTTCCAAGAAGCAAACTTCAGCGTTACTTACTCTTGCCTCAGGATATGCTTGTACAAAGCATCTAGTCCTCTTTCTTTGTTTCCGTCCTTATGCTAGCAGTCTTGCTGCTCTGCCCTCCTACTATACCATGCAAACAGCAGAAAATTGAAGGAAGTTCCACCATATTTTTTTCCTGAGACAAATAGGAGGCCCAGGTGCACAAAAGCCTTCAGACCTCTGTGGGGGCATAGGCCTGTAAGACTCCCTCAGATCCAGATTATAATCCTTTAAACTCGTCTACTTTGTTATTTGAAAAGCAGCTGAAGGCCAGAGGCTCCCAGGAAACCTCCAAGTTCTGATTTGGGACATACTCAGAAATGTCTCTTTTAATTATGTCCCAGCAGCTACATCCCCACTTCTCTCCTGAGTCCCATCAGGACCTACAACAGTGCTTCCTTTCAGTTGACTCCTTTTTGGAGGACAGTCCCAGAGGCAAGCTCAAAGTACATGTCCTGGATTATGATGTTCCCTCTGCACAAGAGCATGCGAATGCTTTTTTGGTCATTCTTTACAGAGAGGATTACCGAGAGGACAAATAAATAGGTGTTGAGTTGTTTCAGAGGAAATAAACAACAACTATTTGACAACAGGACCTTACTGAGGCTTCTATTAAATGGTATGTCAGGGCTTTAAAATAATAATACAAGTAATGTCTGGAGGAGGAAGCTTTTTTAGTGTCTGGAAACAGCTGTGGACAAACAAAATTTATGAGCAGGAGAGGATCCAATTCATGTGAGACAGAAAATCCAAACATACTTACATATTTGAGGAAAAGGTGTAATTCTTTGTGGTCTTTGGGATTGATTGTTGCTTCAAACAAAGGTACAAAGACATTCTCCAACATCTTCCCAAAACTAGGCAGAATATTTTTTGACCTAAATATGTCACTGAAGGGGAAAAAATATACACAGTTGTGAGCATTCTTTAATCAGCTTACATTTTTCCTCCGCTTTCATATTTTCTGTTATTTGTGGGTATTCTACAGCTTCTACCAGGATTCAGAAATTTAAAATTTATGTCAGGGCAGGGGTTGCCTCTGTGCTCTGTTTCCGGCACTGCTTGGCACTGTGCTTCATCCAGGCACTGATGAAGCTCCCAAGTGCTCCAAAAATAGAGACAGTATGCAGGGGTAGATGCTGTCTCAAGAACAGTGACCCTTTCCCTTACAGGAATCCAAGTACTGATAGGGTGATAATGAATTACCTCTCGTGGAAGATTCTGTTTTCCAAAGTTGTAGCTACTCCAAATGAAAGTAGAATGTTCGACTTTAGTGAGCCTCTCAGAAAAGAGGGATAGGACTTCACTGTGTCATTAAGTGCATGACTTAAATTGTTGACTCTGCTATGTAAGTAAGAAATTGCTGCATAAGAACTTAAAGGAGAGAAACTTTCTCCCTAATGAGAAACACACTCCAGGGGGTATATGCAACCATGACAGCTCTTTACTTGTATTCCAACTATGCAATTTCAAAACATGAAGCTCAGCTATTAAGGCTGACAAAATTACCACAGGAGATTGTATTACAATATGCCATATCAGAAACAGAGAACCATTTAATAAAGTCCCAAAGGATGCTTAAAATCTAAGAAATACTGATACTGATTTAAGCTTGCAAATCAGCAATCTGGGTTGTGTTTCCAAGTTCACTGTCATTTATTCACTGATCTTGAGGAAGTTTGATGGTAACAGTTTTACAGAGACTTTTCTACTCATTTATGGAATTCAAGAGTTGATTTATTTTCATTACTAAATTGTATTTTAACTTGCCTTTGAACATGCCTTAATTTCACCCAGTTGTAATTCTTGGTTTTAGTATCTTCAGACTTATGAATAACTCACAGTAGTTTTGAATAGCTTCATAAAGAGTAGATTCAAACCCCACCTCCTGTCTTCCACCCCCAGACTGTCAGGAAAACTGAAGCAATGGTCAAGAATAAATTTCCCAGGCTGTTGCTTATAAATAGAACTACAGGACAGCTCATAAACCATCTAAAAAAATATCAGAAATTAAAACAAATCATTGGTATGATTTCAAACTATTAAAATTACCAAGAGCTCCTGCTTACTTACTAGATTCTTGGAACCTGGATTATCCAGCGCATATTAGGGGAATAAACTTTATGCTTAATGAACCATTTTGCCAAGTTCAGCCATTCATCTGGAGACCGTCCATAAATGGATAAGCGAGGTTCTGTGTACTGGTACTTACTTTCTTCTAGTTCACGGGCTACTTCCTATTAAGTAATAAATATATTTGCTTTAATATGGACACTGAAGATCATTTACAGCTAGTACTATATTTATCATTGTATTTTCCTCAGACCAGACATAACTGTATTGTCACCCTTTTAAGATAAAGGGAATCTCTTGTCTATTAATCCATTATTTTATTTTAGGCATCTAAATATTCTACTAGCAAGCTATCTCAGATACCATTTGAGTGTAACTAATTTTAACATCTAGATTTAGAGGACAATATTCTTCCGCAGTTATTACTAACACCTTTGTAAGACATATGTTTAAAATCGGTAAATCAGAATTATGCTATTTAAACTGTAGTAAATGACTACATAAAATATGCAGACCAATGGAGAATCTGACCCAGAATCCGTGGTAGTAAGCAATTTTAAGGCCATTAATTTTAGACAAGCACTTCTGTACATTTGAGAAGAGCTGACAGCTAGTTCATGAAAACTAATTCTTTTGTTGTAAGAAATTTATTTGAAGCCTGTGCATGCATGTGCAGATACATATTTATGCAGAGGCACTTCCCTACCTCCTCCTTCCCCAGCAGCTACCATTAACCAACACATCCTAACAAAATATTAAGCCAGTGAATCGACCCTTGGCTGCTTTCCATTAGTTTGAAACTGCACACAACTCTGCTTTGATGTCATACACAGGTTGTGTGTATGAGTTTCTGACTCATAAAATTATTTAGAAAGCAGCAGTGGTTGACTTAACAGAGGTCCTTCTCTGATGAATTGCTAAAGCAAGTCCAATACTTGGAATCACTTAACCATAGTGTTAGCTCTAGATACAATTATGACATCACAAATCTTTTACAAACCTTCATTTCTCTACAGCTGGAAAAGCTTGAAATATATTTACCTTGACCATACGAGCAAAATATTCACCACCAATGTAGTTCTCAGTTTTCAAATATAAGTCCCTCAGCTCACTAGCACCCACTGGATTGTACTTGGAATTGAATTTGTCAAATCGGTGAAATGTTTGACGGCCCTGGAGGAGGAAAAAACTCAAATAACTATGGTTTTAAGTACACACAATAGATTATAAATTAAATTGCCTAGCAATAAAAGGCACAGAAAAGAAAAAGCCTATGCTAACTTACTTCAAATATGCAAAGTAATGCATGAGTTCAAATTCTGATTTACAAAGTTATCATGCAAAAACTGTAGAAACCAGAATTTCACACTTAGACAACTTAGCTTTTTCTCATTTGTTTTGTCATTTTAATAAACTTACTGCATGAACATCTAAGGAGTCTACAGTGAGGTCATAAGGGTCCATGTGAAGGCTTTCGAAGACTTGCTTTAAAGTCATCTTCTTGCCTTTCTTCTCTGCAACAATCCTGTCGGGCTCCGTTTGATATGTGTGCTTAATAAACCTCAATAAGTGTTTCTGGTTCATGCAAGCAGCAGCATGGATATGAGTATCAACCTGAAATCAGAAGGTTATTCATGCTCATCATCCATATACATAAACTTAAATTAGCAAAGTATCTATGTCAGTGACAACAATGAGTAAAACCTTCTAAAATATTCCTTAAGTAACAAATGGATTAGTGCCTAAGCACGTCAAAATGTTTCAGAACCCTGAGATTTGGGGTTGGAGGAATTATTCAACAATCAAAACTATAAACAAAATAGCCCTCAATTAATAGTTTCCTATTTAAACATTTTCAACAAGTTAAGGTACATTATAAATGCCAATCACAGAACCTGGGTTCAGATTAAATTTGATACTTCCTTAAGGGGCACTCTGATCCTTTAGTATGCTTTTATTTCATCCTTGAGTCAATGATGTCTTTCTAGTTATAGTCTGTAGTTATAACCATCTCTCGGACTAAAAGGACCTGGAATTCTCAGCCATTTCCAAAAACATAATTAGTTTTTGTATTTCAACCACATGAAACATCTTCGGTCACTAGAACTGCAGAATATATATGAGAGATTTTGTCACTATTTTTTCCAAGTTTAATTACAGTGCAGCAATTCATAATGCTGACAGATTTTTCAGCTTCTTCAGATCTCCACACAGTAAGGGAAACGCAAGCTTCACAGAAGGGCTGAGGGTACTCCTTCAGGTTTTTGTTGAAGTCCCATTTAAAAAAAAGAATTGACAAGAACCACATGGTTTCCACAGGTATGGTTTTCTTTTGCTCAGAATCTTGCACTGCTATTTGAACAGCCTATATTAGAACCCAATCCAAAGAAATGACTGATGAGATTTGGGGCTTGGCGTGTTGACTTAAGTTTTCCCTTCAGTATGTGTAATTCCTTAGGTGCCTCCAGCAGGTATGTAAAATGAATCCATTGCACTTCCTTGCAGTCAAGGTTTTATTATCTTAACTACACCAATAAAGAATAGGAGAAAACTGTGTATATTCCCCAATTTCCTGTTTGAAAAAGCAGGTAATACTAATTGCAGGTCCTGAGCACCAAGTACGTGAAAGGGAAGAATAGGTCTTGGTGAGGATAATGGCCTTAAGGAATCTAACAGCACAGCAATATCTAGTGTGTGGAGTAGCAGAGCTGCTGCTCCAAGGTCCATTTGCTTTCAGTTTCCTTCAGAAATTCTGACTGAACAACAAAACAGCCTAATGCATGTCCTAGGCAAAACAATGACATTACCCTACCAACAAATTCCTATCAATTTAAAACCAAACCAAACCACTCTTCTGATTAGATTTCACAGTTGACACATAATGAGCACAATGGCCCTGGGGACAGCTTGACAGACTCTGAAATTGCCTTCAAGTCGAGACTGCCAAATCCTAGCAGAAGCAGTTTCAGCTCACCCAGAAGCCGCAGTGCTGCAGCCTGACTGCTAAGCTTCCCGTTTTCCTCCAGCCCAGGCCCTAGTTGGACATAGATGGCCCTGAGCACAGAGATATGGTCAGAAGCAATCGCCAGCTTTCACTACTCTTAACATCTGTCTTGTGCACCAACTGCCTGGTATTGGAGACAAGTCTTACAAGACCAACTGGCAGAATGGTTCTGCAGAAAGAATAGGAAGCAAGAGAGTCCGTTTGTAATACAAGTTACAAGATGATGTATTACAGGGACAGGATGGTTCAGATAACAAGTCTGAAAAGCACCACACAGTACTGCCCTGTATATTGGTGGGAGATGGTTTGGAATCATTATAACACTTTACCATGCCGTCTTACGTGAAACTGTAGTGGAAAAGGCTGCTCTAACTCCTCATACAGAGTAAGAAAGGAGCTTCAAAGCAGAAATGAGATATGATCTTGCTCCTGCACAGAATGCAGCTGCCAGAATGCACCCAGTTTTGCTGTCTACAATTAAAGGCTTAAAAACCCCAAATACTGACAACATTCTCAAGAAATGTCACAAAAGGAAATAGGAGCTAGAAAACCCAAACTACCATGTGACTGTAAAAATGAAACTTATTTGGCTTTCAAGGTGCAATTTGAGAGTTAATTTGATCAACTGCATACAGGTATTTGTACATCCAAAAGAGACTACGAGGCAGAGAGGTGGCTTTTCAGTCTTACAAGCAATGACGTAACAAGATCCGAAGGCTAGATGGTGACATTAGATACAAGTTCCTAAAGTCATTTACTACATTGGGACAGTGTGAACCCACGGCACTGTGCTTTTTAAAATGCAAGTAACTAGCATTCCCAGGGACACAGGCCCAACAAGTGCCGCATAGCCTATATGCAGAAACTCACACTAGAAGGAATTCTCAGATAAACCAGCTATAAGGAGTCACTGAACTTGCATCTCTGCAAGTATTCTCATCCAGGACTCTGTCCAGGGAACTGCAAACATGGACAAGTACAACATGAGACCAGTGCGTTCCCCCTTTGCGTAGTGACTTACGTCTGCACCTTTCAGATTCCACCAACAGCAGTAGCTGACATCCTGATCTGCTTTTGAGGATCAGTGAGAAACAGATCACAGAGCACCTAAATAAGTAACAGCCATAGTCCTGCAATGTAAACTTCAGCTTACGTGACGGCACACGGTCCACAGAAATGCCCCTGTTTTACTCGACACATGTAGTCATTTAATTTGCAGTTTATACATACAGAATTTGTTGCAGCCTTCTAAGGGTAAATCTATCTCCATGTGAATGTTAATAGCATAACTAAACACCAGGATATAAACTGAATCCTAAACATTAACATTTAATTGTTAATCACTGCCTAGTTCAAATATGCTAGACACTTTAAAGCTAAATGAAAAAGCAAGGAACATATTACTGTCTCCAAGTACACAACATGAAGTACATTACTAATGCACAGTAAACAATGCTGTGTCTAAAATAGTAAAAACAGCTCTGCTTAACATATTATTACACTCCTCAGAGTACTTGTATAGACATTTGAACGCAAGTGCATTATATATATGCTTACTCAGGTTAATAATTATCTTCTGTTTTAGAAACAACATTGTTTACTATAAATGCTTCCTGGACCAGTGAAATACTACAAACTACTAGGCTTGGTCAACTTGTATGGGAGAGTGAAATAACAGTTAATAGATGCCCTATAAGCTCTAAACATTCCGGAAAAGCAAGTCATAAGCATAGAATACTAGGTGTAAAAAAAAAAGTGTAGTTTATTGAATTTCAGAATACACTAGTTCTAGTCGTGGCTCTGCTGTGGGAATTAATGAGTCTTGAAAAAAACCAAACCAAATCACTTCCTCTTTATTTACATCAGCATGAATTCACTACTGTTAGGAGAGCAAGGACGAAAGCAAGGAGACATTTTGTTTCTTTTGTTTGCTTATATGCAAGGATCATGACACAGTAGTAACTGTATTTCTTTTGAAGTCCTGCTTCCCTTTGAGAAATAATTCTCTTAAGTGTGCCTCTGCAATTCAGTAGGCTCCTGTGAAATCTTCTGCAGCCCCCACAAGCATATCACACATAGCTCTATAGCTGAGCTAACCACATCAGGCTTATTCTCTGTGAACCAAGATTTTTTTTTTTTCTCCTCCCTCTCCCTAAATATATTTATTTCCTAAGAGTAGAAAGACTTTCCTGGAGTCTCTTTCATGCTTTTTCCAGAGAATATGCAGTACTTTGGCTACCTTTTTTAATTACCCAATATATTTTGACCTTTAGACAAGCAGCAAGTTCAGGAACAAGGCAAGTCTTACAGAGTATCACACAGCTTTTTCTTCATTGTTTTTTAGAAGCAATGCAACTTTTTGGAAGGTTTTAATGACTTGAGCTTTGACCTACACTAACACATAATTAATTAATGTGTCTGCTTTCCTGCATTTTCATAATTCAGGGTGCAATCCTATCTAAGTGAAGCATCTAAACACAGAATTCTTAGACATAGCTTATATGGTCTGATTTGGTTAGGGATTTAAAATTTTTTTTTAGTTGAAATGTTATCATGCTAAGAAGTTGTTACTAATTGTTATTTATTATGAAAGGCATCTACTAAAAGAATTCAACAGATTGAGTTCATATGAGGGTCACAAATGCCTCCTTTGCCTCCTCTGCCTCCTCCCTTCCCCCCGAAAGACAAAACCAGTCTCATTTTAAGCTATTATTATTTTGTTCTTCGTATAATACATGAAGTAAGCTGAGGCTCTTCTGGGCCATGAGTAACAAGCCCCTACTACAAGGTCTATTTGCTTCTATTTGCAAACATTCTGCTTCCATTTCCAAATTTGTTACAGTGCCACTCCAGACCAGTTTCCTCTTAGTGGAAAAAACCCTCGGCTGCGTGCCCTCAGCCAAATTTCCTGTCACAGTTCTTATTCTCCCCTCCCCCAGGACGAAACCTTTTACTCAAGGTCACATTAATCTTCAATGAGAAGAAGAAACACAATGAGTCACAGAAGCCTATTTTGGAACACATAATATGCCTTCAGTGAACCCATGTTTTTAACAAATGAAAACAATTATTAACACAAAGGGTTCCTTAATTCTTTTCATGCCATCCTCTCACTCATGCAATGATGGTCATCAGCTTTCTTGCAATTAAATGATTGTAGAATTCCCTTTACTCAGCAATTCTCCATGTAATAAATCCAGCCTGTCTTCCTCTGCACCTTCCCAGTTCAGGCTAGCCTTTTCCTTTCCTTATTGACCTCACCACCTGTGCCATTCTGTCTGCAGGCTTTGTGGATGAAATGCTTGTACTTCCCAGTCAAGATGCTTACATCTGTGTACAACTTACAGCTTGAAGGAGTTGCCATTGCCCTCCAAATCATGTCTCCCCAGCACCAGCTTCCCTAAACCACTCTGCCTCCCTCATCTTCCTGCATTGCTTCTCTTTGCTTCCACTGCCTCTCAAATCTCCACAAAATATCCACCTCAGATCTGTTTTATGGATGCTTATCTATGCATATCAGAAACAAAGCATTGCACTGAATTAGGCATATGGTCTAGATTCAGAGCAGTAAGTCATAAATACAGAAAAATAAATGCCGAGGGCAGCCCCT